CACACACACACACACACACACACACACACACACACACACACGTACCAAACACACGGAGGTGCTATGAAGCTAGCACAGCCCCACAAGCCCCCTTACCTGTCTGCCATCTGTGGGATGATGTAATGGCCATTTTTATGATCTACAAGGCAAACAGAAGCATTCAGAATGCGTGGCTGAGGACCCCCCCATGGCCACAGCAGCAGTACTGAGCATCTGCACTAAAAACTCCCATTGAGGGATCTGTTTGCAACAACGTTTTGCTGTTGGCCAGTCATTCCTGCAACTGGGGGAAAATGTCATTGCTCCTAATAACTGATACAGGTGAGCTTCAGCACTGGGGAGAACTGGGACTGCTGGTGCCCACCTGGGGTAGAGCGTGGGAGCACTTACCTGGGCGTCGGCCACACAGATAGAAGGCCAGCCGATCGGTGAGTTCATACTGACACTCCACCAGCCGCTCGGCCAGTTCCACCTGGCCGGCCTGCCTGCGGCACAGAAACGCCGTTATCTCACAGCACATACGGCCCACTCGCCACAAACAGGTCACCTATGAGGCCGGAACCGCATTAGGTCACACCCACATCCACACAAGACCCCACCCACACCCATTCAAGGCCATGCCCACTCCCCAGACACTAACAGGTAACCTGGGGCCACGCCCACATTAGGCCACACCCAAGTGACCCTAACCGCACCCATTCAAGGCCACGCCCACACATCACATACAAGGTCAGGCACCACATTCTGCCGTCGGATTTTACCATAACTGAGCCAGTACAAATGGGTTTTAAATGGTACATTAAATGTGGTACAAACAGAAGAATCAGTGTAGAACTGCGGCGGAATGCCTGCAAAGGCTCAGGAGGAGATACACAGCCCAGTCTGTACCGTGTGAGGACACACACTGCACCACACCAGCTCCACCACCAGGGGGCTACCTGGCATAGTCCATTGGTGTGCGGCCATTGATGTCAGGGGCACCAGGATCGGCCCCATATACCACCAGCAACTCTGCCTGCAGCACCTGACCCGCCTTCGCGGCCACGTGCAGGGGGGTGGTGCCCTTCTCCTATGACACATAGGGGGGGGGGAAACATTCAGGTAACAAAAAGGTAAATAAACCACTTAAGTCCTGGGATGAAACCTCATGCGTGACAAGAGAAACAGTAAAGGTTTCTCAGCATTACACTGAATGTTAACCGACAAAATAACAATTATTATTAATAATTAAGGTAATAAGTGCACACTTTCCCATGTGCCCTGGGGTGACACTGAAGCTGAACCATAGAACACCTCATGGTATAAACGGCGTCGAGGATACAGTGTGCTGTGAGACAAGTTTCACACCTGCTCCTGTTCCCCATCCCTTCATGCATCAGGTACGCAGCGTCCACTACTGTGACATTTATATTGGGGGGGGGGGGGGATGGGGGCGGGGCTGGACTCACCGGGTGAAAGAAGTTGGCCTGCGCCCCGAGGGAAAGCAGCCGTAGGCAGGTCTCCAGGCTGCCGGTCCGCACACTGGAGTGCAGCTGCTGCAGGGGCAGAAGCATCATGTCCGTCAGAAACCCCCCAGCACCGCGACGGGGGCAGGTACAGGGAGCAGGGTGGGCCAATGTCTCCCCCACCCTACCAGGGCCGCTTGGTGTAAATGACTTGTGTGTGTACAGGAGAGAGATTCGTGTGTGTGTGTACAGGAGAGAGAGACTCGTGTGTGACTTTATGTATAGGAAAGAGAGATTCATGTGTGATGGTGTGTGTGTGTATGTGTGTGTTTGTGTATGTGTGTATGTGCGTGTCTGTTTTTTGTGTGTGTATGTGTGTGTGTGTGTGTGTGCATGTATGTCCTCACCTTACTGAGGTCCTTGGTAGTCACGCCGTCATCATCGCGACATGGAAGCTTGTGGACGAAGGCCAGCATCTGGTACTTTGCTCGAATGAACTCTGACTTGGTGGGACTACGGAAAGATGGGGAGAGATGAAGAGATGGAGGAAGAGAAGAGAAAGGAAAGAGGAGGCCCCAGTGTGTGGAGAGGCTTCCCCTCATGCCGCAGACATGGTCACACTGCCTGCATTCTCAGAAATGGGACATTTGGATGCCTAAAATACACGCATGCAAACACTTCCACATTTAATTAATCCTCACTTTCACTTCGCATTCAAAAGAGCGACAATAATTCAAGTTCCTCTTTAGCAAAATAAATACATTTCTGCATGATAAACATCTGAAATAAAACAATTAAGAACCTTGTTTAATCACATTGCCCCATTCGTTTCCAGCGCATCTCATTTAAATGCCCTCGGTGGAACAGCACTCTCAGAAACAGCGGCACCGTAAACACGCAGCCATTAATGCCCAAATGCTGTGTACACAGAATCCTTCCAAGATTTTGCACGGCTTACATAACGCTACATTTCTATATTTATAATATTCAAAGTTTCAATTTTCTTAAAGAGGCCGGGCAGCTTTTATGGAATGAGGCACTGCGTTAATGAGCGTGGAAATGTCAGGCGTGTAACAGGTGTGCATCCTCCACGCTATTCTAGGTCACGCGATGTCCCCCTCTAATGAACCCTCCTGCTCTGGGCTCATTATGACTGGAAGAAAGGCAGAGGCGCTGGGGGGCCACAGCAGGACGGCCCTCTCACACACGGCAGTACAGTACTGTGGGGCCACAGCAAGACGGCCCTCTCACACACGGCAGTACAGTACTGTGAGGCCACAGCAGGACGGCCCTCTCACACACGGCAGTACAGTACTGTGAGGCCACAGCAGGACGGCCCTCTCACACACGGCAGTACAGTACTGTGAGGCATACCGCAGACCCTGCTGACAGCATGTGTGACAGAGCGGAGGACATGCAGCACGGGCCCTCTCACACACGGCAGTACAGTACTGTGAGGCATACCGCAGACCCTGCTGACAGCATGTGTGACAGAGCGGAGGACATGCAGCACGGCAGCCAGGCTACTACACCACGCCTCAGGTGCAAGACAAGGTGAGGACTCAAGCTACTTAACCTGAAATTTTTATATTAATGTGCTGTCCTTTAAAAGTATAACATTTTGTACTAGTAAATTATGTGAAAATAATAGTGTCTGTTAACCAGGGTGCACACTTCCTGCGTGACACCCTGTGGGAGGAACAGAAGGGTCTTTTGGAGATACTCACTGCACTTTATCCTGTGGGTTGGGCTTCCGCCGGCCACTCTGCACCTGCGCTGGGTCCAGCAGTGAGTGCTCCCAGATGGAATTTGCCCCATTGCTGGCCAGGGTTTGCACCATCTGCAACACAGGGCAATTTTGGGTTCACTGGCACCGCCCTGCTGGCCATTGCACACGCCCCTCCACTGGCTAAATGCTCAATAACTTCAGTTTTCTCTCCCACTCAGCATTACCAGTGCCGTGCCCCACCCATGCCACGATGTAGGATGACAAAGCCCCCCCCCCAGTGAACTCGTACCTGCAGCAGTGCCGGGGGCCAGCCGCTGTGGCGCAGGTGCTTGACGATAGAGATGTGCCTGCCCAGGCTGCGGTGCACGGAGCAGCACTCATCGCAGATAAACACCCCCCGGTTAATGCTGCTCCAGCCCGGATCTGACAGCACAGGCAACAGAGAGAGGGATGGGGGGAGAGAGGGAGCGAGAGAGAGGGAGAGAGGGATGGGGGAGAGAAGGAGGGATGGGAGAAGAGAGGAAGGGATGGGGGAGAGAGGGGAAGGGATGAGGGAGAGGGGGATGGGGGAGAGAGAAGGAGGGATGGGAGAAGAGAGGAATGGGTGGGGGAGAGAGGGGAAGGGATGAGGGAGAGAGGGATGGGGGAGAGAGAAGGAGGGATGGGAGAAGAGAGGGATGGGGAGGGAGGGATTGGGAGAGGGATAGTAGGAGAGAGAGAGGGAGAGGTACAGACAGATGAGGGAGAGAGGGATGAGGGATGGGGGAGAGGGGAGAGAGAGACAGAGAGAGAGGGTGAATATAGTAAGTGGCCTGAGATGCTTCTCCGGATCTAATGCGAGGCCTTATCAGCACCGCAAGTTGAGTCTCGCATCCCAGACACTGAGCCTTTATAGCCGATTTTGGCTGAAGCATTAAATAATTACTTTGTTTATATCAGGGCTTCCTGTCCAAAGTGTTCCAGCCAAGTCACAGGTTTCACAGCAGTGTGAAAGCGAGTTAAAATAAAGTCCTTTACTGCACAGTAACACTATCAGTCCCTAAAAACATCTCCCCAACATGGCTGACGACTCGACGGCCAGCGGCCCATCAGAGAAATCCAGCAGGGTACCATCATGCCACACCCACAAAAGAAACCACACCACACCCAAGAGGGCTACGGATCCTCAGGTTGTCTACTGATTTGGGACACTGGATGAAATCTAAGCTCTCCGTTCACATGTTACAGTCTCGGGTCCTTCGTAGCAACAGCTCACCCCCCTCTGCCTGACACAGAGACATATATGGAACAGGTCGCGTTTTATTATACACAGAAGGAGTTCAGATCTGGATTTAAATTATCCCACATTACATTAAAAGGTTTCACACAATTAAAACATGCAGACGCAGGTTACAAGATGCAGGTTAGCTTAACTGTTATGTGACGGGACCTTTAAATTTAAATCACTGATGTAAAAATACCGCCTAGCCATGGTCGGTGTCTGAAAACAGAACAGCAGACAGTCTAAACACCCAGATCCCCTTCACTGGCAGGCGGGCAGATGACCCCCTAGCCAGATCACTCTCACACACACACACACACACACACCCTGCGACTAAGCAGAGGTTTTAAAGTACAGCCTTCAGTGACTGTTACACAACATTTCCATGGGTGTCGATTAAAGCTTCCATCACAAATAAATCACATATTTCATATACACCTGTCTGTCAGTCAGGCCTTCAATCACAGCCATCAACAAAACTCTGCAACACTCACAGCATCATCAGCACAGGGGAATGGCGGTATTACTCTGCTGTACATACATTCTAAAATCACTAAAACACCATTTAAAACAATGGCGAACAATCACTATGGAATTACTTGAATGGCCCTTCAGAAACGGCCTCACCGCCTGGTCCTCATTCATGCAGATGTAAACATCACGTTTGGAATAGACCCATATGAATTAATGCATGTGGCTAAGGACAGCCCGGCTTGAGTGTACCGGGTCGGGGCCCAGGGACCGAGCCAGCAGTACCAGCTGCCCTCAAAGCCGCAGGGAGAGCGTCTTGATGGGAGGAACAGCAGCTAGGTCAATGTCGCGGGGTGACAAGGCAACACTGCTGCAAAATCACGCTCCCACATGCCTCTGACAAAAAGATACAACGAGTCCGTGTCCTAACGCCCCACACACAGCCACATTTAACGGCAGCTCTCAGCCAACTTACATACCATCTTCAGTTCAATTTACTCAAATTCTGACCAAATTCAGGACATAATCTGGCCGATTTCCCAATTCTTGACATTTATAATGATGTTATTAATGTTGTTGTTGTTATTATTATTTTGTATATTATAATTAATTAGATTTACTTAACACCTTTCACAATCCCAAGGTGGCTTTCCAAGGAGGAAAAGAAAAAAAAACACAACACAACACAACACAACACACACACACACACACAAGCATCTAAGACGGGAAGAGAAATGTTCATCAAACAGGAAGGTCTTTAAGTTGGATTCAAAAGTCGAGAATGAAGCCCGGCCACAGAGAGACTGAGTTAGAGAATTCCTGAATTTGATTGTATTCTACACAAGGAGTAGACTACAGCTGGATGACCAGAGAGAGCGAGAGGTAGAGTAAGGGGTCAGAAGATTCCTGCGGGAAGGGGGTCGAAGGCTATGTAGTGCTTTGCAGGATTTTGAGTTTGATACGGGACTGAACTGGTAAGCAGTGCAGCTGTGAGAGAATGGGGGTGATGCGAGTAGAGCGCCTACTACGGGTGAGGAGTGTTACAGCAGAGTTCTTTAGTAAAGCTTTAGTAAAGATGTAGCAAGAAGACCAAAGAGAAGGAGATTATAATAATCAGCACAGGACATGATGAAAGCATGGATCACAGTCTGTGCATCATTATGAGAGAGAAGAGGCCAAAGGCGAGCGATATTACGGAGGTGGGAAAAATGCAGTTTTGGTGTGGGACTCGATATGCTGATCAAAGTTCAGTGATGGGACAAACGGTACTCCGAGATTTCTGAGCGTAGAAGCAGGTTTAACCTACAGCATCATCAATAACCAAACATTATTTCCATATTTGTCATGGAGACTTGCTGAAGGTATGTTTGTGCTGGCAGGAAAGCAAAAAGGAGCAAATTTATCGTAATAATGCAGCCTCAAATTATATTATCATACAGGGAAAAAATATATGGACTGAACAACCAAATACACCACTGGAGAGCACATGAATAACAATAATTGTGTATTAATGTCTGTCGTAAAACAATCTCATCAGAGATGTGATGCACTCACTGAAGGTGATAGTATTACTACCAGGGAATGCTCTGTGATATACTATTCTAGATAACTTGTCACAGGCAAAAGAAGGAGCTCCATTTGCAATAAATCTTTAAACACCAGAACAGTGGAAAACCTCATCTTTTCCCCTTTGCAGTATATTTATGGGTCAGCTGATGAATAATCAAAAAGAACCAAATTTCTGTTCTGAGAAACGGGCCATAGGTTGGTGCTGGTTGGCTGGGAGCCAGGCCGGGCTGAGCCGGGCCGAACGGGTCCAGGGTTTGGGTGGGAAAGAACTGTGACACATTGTGAGAAAGAACTGTGACACGGATGAAACGGCATCACTCCTGGAAAACCGCCTGACAAATAGTGGTCCCTGTCTGATAACAGACCCTCCTGTCACACGCACATTCTTCAAACACTGTGACACACTAACTTAAAAATCTGCAGACGAAACACTGATTAGGATCAAAACAGTCATGGTGAGAGGTAGGTACTGTCTGCGCGCGCGAGAGGCCAGCACACTAAGTGAGCTGTTCTCTGGCTCACCATTCTGCTGCAGCCCAGGGGAGACTATCTCTGCACAAGTACTAGCTCTGCCTGGCTGGCAGCTCTAGCTGAAGAGGAGACAGCAGTCAGATTCACGACCGCAGCTTCTTTTAATTCAGTGTTTTTTTTTTTTTTTTTGAAAAAAACTTGTAATTCTTTCCACATCACTAAAAACCTACCCATCTGCATCTCTCAGCTAAGTTCCATAACACCAGGAGTGTCAGAGACTGTTTCATTCACTCTCTCCCTCTCTCTCTCACACACACACACACACACACAAACACACAAACACATGTATGTGTGCACACACAGACTGACTGACAGACAGACAGACAGACAGCCAGCCAGCCACACACACACACACACACACACACACACACACAGCCACACACACACACACACAGCGACTGTGTGGGGCAGCTCCTACTCTCTGCACGCACACATGTACACGCACAAACAAACACACACACACACACACACACACACACACGATACAGAATCCCCCTAGCCAGATCCAAAATTGCACACCGATCTGTCAGCCTTTAACAATCTCCACAGACACCAAAGACAGAATCAGGGTCACTCCCCCTAAACAGCACAGTTGGACACACCTTGACCTCACACAGATGTGCTCACTTCCATTGCTCTCCTCCCTTGGGTCCGGTCGTTAAATTCAGGGTGGGGCTTGGGAGGTACCGGTCTGGGACCTCCACTTCTGTTGTGAGCCATGGAGTTGAATGAATGCAACCATTTACCTAATGAATGGGATGATGTGACACCAAAGTGAAACCAGCACTGAATGCAGGATGGCATCGCGTCACATTTCAAGCAAATGAAAAGGCAGGCATTACTCTGCATGGTACATTTGCACTTTTCCTCCCATTATCCAAGGAAAAGGTGCTTTTTAATCAGGCTGTCTCCCTGTGGACGGGGGCTGGACTGCTGGCCACCAGCTCAGCCTCACTTAACTCTGTGCACCTTATACTTCATCCTGCCAGCAGCCTTTCTTGGCTGGACACTCCATCTTGCAGTGGCATCCAGACCAGGCCCCCTGCTGATGCACTTAGTGTTTGTTCAACTGAAGTCTCATTGATGTCTGAGGGCTGTTCAACTGGCGTCCACCGATCAAGTGTTCTTTGGGTCACCGACAGAGAGACCCCTGCCACACACACACACACACACACACACACACACACACACACTGTGCTACCCTTCTTACAGCCATATTACGTAGTATTTTAATTGGACACCAATATGACTTAAGTGGGAGTTGCACATTTCTCCAGTGCTTTTCAGTCTACAGCTACAAAAGATCTATTTAAAGTACGAGTAACTATGGACCTTATGCCAGTACACAGCACACAAATATTCATCTCACGGATCTCAATTACAAAATTTATATGATAAAGTACAAGCAGACATAGTGACATTTTAAACACAGCTTTGATAAATGTTCTAAGTATGGTGTCCCTCGGTGTGACAAATTCACAATTAAGTCATGATTTTCTAACATGTAAAACGAATGATTCTGACTGTCTTAAGGAGTGGATCCTCCCTGCTAAAATCACAGCAGCTAGCAAGCAAGCTAAAAATGAGCTTGTTCAATATGAAAGGACTGGAGTGTAAGGCGTGAGCAAAACAGCCATACGCATACAGTACATAATGTACAGAAAAGAAAGTGCTTTAATCCAGCATGGAGTGGCTATCTGCTACCTTGCACAGAAAGTGACACAGATAAAAAAACATAAACTGCTAGCTTATCTTAGCTAACGTTAGCTTACTAGCTATCTGCTCACCGGACTGAGAGCATCCCATTGGGTTTCTTCGTTAAGTGTTCTCATGTGCAGGAATTTTCCATTAATGTTGTTATTATGGGACGTCGGGTGAAATACTACCAAGACAATTTAACGACCGGCTTTGACAGAAAAGCAAAACATAAGCACAAATAAATACGAGACCTTGAGGCCCTCGCACTAGGAGCCACCGGCCATTTTCCTGCTTCGGGAATCCGGGATATCGGCATAATGCGCCGTTTTTCCATACCTCCTCCCCGCCGCCGACCCCGGGAGTCTGTCTTACCCCCACCCCCTCCTCCTCCTCCTCCCCGCCCCAACAGCGCTTCATTTCGCAGTTTGTTCCCTACCTGGGGCACTGCAGTCGGCGCAGACTTCGGTCCTCTGCACTTTTCTGGACATGTTGATAATCGCCCCCCCCCTAAATTAAGCCCGTGTCCCCCGGCTGAGCCTGGATGCTGACGATGCCCGTCCTTCCCAAGAGCGACGTCCGCGGCTCCCTTGATGCCGCCCTGAACCCCCGGAAGTCTCCCGGCCCTCGCCGCTTTGCCTCGCCCCCTGTCCCCGTCCCGATCCCCGGCTGCGACAATCCTTCCGATCGTCCTAGACTAACTACGTTTTACTGCAAGTGGGAAAAAATAGTGTGGAACCGGAACCACGACACAGCTAGGTGGCTACCCACGGTGAATGACAATGGGTACTATTTTAGCAGGCTTTGTTATCCTAATATCTTCATTGCTCCAGCGAAAAGGGAAGCGTGGCATGGGGAGCGATCAATGTCGCTACTCCAGCTTTTATTTATATCCTGCACACTACACATTAAATACAGCATAGGGGTTTTTTGAGCCCTAGCCTTTCCCCTCTGCCTCGTCGTCTCTCTCTCCCTCTCTCTCCCTTTCTCTAGCGGTGCCTTGGGGGGAGAGAGAGTACGGAACGCTATGAGGTCACTCCAGCATTCACCATAAAACGCTTCCTTTCCGTCTTTTCTCGTCCGGAGCATCCGCACGTCAAGGCGCTATACACGCCCTGAACTGGCAACATCTGCCTGGGACACTTTACTCGAGCTGTCAGTTTATTTCAGATGGATAAAATCCCGTGACGTTTGGGGGAAACATCAATACTGTACGTCGATGCTCTTAAATGTAATATTTGTATCCCCCGACGGAACAGGATAAGCGATTATAAGATGGATGGATTATATTTATGCTTAAAATACGCAAGTATGTGTGAATAAAAAAGTATGCAAGTATGTGTGAATAAAATATAGACCTACATATATCAGGGCCAATTCTATTGTAATGAGCATGCACTGATTTCTATTGTGATAACAGACAAATGGCACACACCATAGGCCTATATATTACCCTACTTTCATTATGTGTTGTTCGTATGCTATAAGCCTATGTAACTGGGCGTGATTTGACACACGCATCAAGGTCCTTTTGTCATTATTCATCTTGCTATAGGAGCCTGCGCCTCGTCTTAAGCATCTCCCAGCATCTGCCTCGCTGACAGGCAGCCATGCGGGCGGGGGATAAGACAGGGAGCTGAGCTCGTTAGTTTATTCTGGCTGAAGAGAGGAGGGGGAGAGGTAGAGAGAGTGAGGGAGGGAGGAGTGCGAACGAAAAGAAGAGGAGGGGACAGGGAGGCAGAGAAAGAGGAAGGTAGAATCACAAGATAAAAAGGAAAGAGCACCATTCAGATGGCAACATATACTGGATTTTAAAATATAATAAACTATAGCAAATCCGCATTTATTCAGTAGCTGAAGCTTCTGTCAGTGGACGTATTTTTATTGTTTATATTTTACTAATGCGGGAATCGTGCTATTTTTGGTGGCAGTTGCCACGATAATGGGAATAAAAATGACCAGCGATTAGTAATTGTTCCACAAACAAAACTCTCCGTTAAAAAATAACCGTGACGAACGGATTGGAAACGAAAAACAGGTTGGAGAGCAGCGAACTATGCACTTATGATGATTTCTGCAAAGAAAACTCCTGAAAAGAGCCGTTATCCTCTTCACTACCTGGTCTGGCACAACAAACACCGGCAGTTGGAGAAGGAGCTGTCAGCCAGCGAGCAGGTGAGGGGAGCCGCGGGGCCGTGGGAGGGCCGGGCTCGGCACGACAGGGCTGGGTTCTTGCTGCCGATCAAGCATGCCGGTGGGGCTGTCCGTGTGGAGATCGTGCGCCGCCGGCTCCAGCCTTACGCTCAGGCAGCGTGATATTTTGCAGATACACTTATGGGTGTAACAATATGAACACATTAGCAAGATAATGCATCGTGTTACTGCTTATATGCTCACGTGTGTATCTGGTGGTGTGGGATATTATATACCCGTGGTATAGATATGGTGTTGCTTTTACATGTAGCCAAGGGAAGGCTGTTTCTCTTTATTCTCTAAGTATTTGACGCCAATATTCTCATATTCATACTGATCACAGTATAAGCAGCTACCCCTATGTTAAATGTATTAATTAATTTATTTATTCTGTCTGTGTAATATTTAATATCAATGTCCTGCATAAAATTAATTAATCATTTCCTACAGACGTACATGTTTGTCATTTGACTGCGGTTTAGTTACAGTAACTGCGAGTCGGCGCTGCGGCTGTACGCTGTGTGGTGGGTTCAGTGGAGCGGAGTGTCTCTTATTTCCACCGAGAGAGAGGAAAAACGAAGATGGAAAACAGTAGGAGACAAACATGAGACCATGTGGGCGACTTAGTGCACTTTACTGTACCGTTTTGCTGTATTTTGCATGCACTTGGTTATTTGCGCAGAGGAGCCAATCCATACTGAGTGAAACACTGAATTACAATAGAGAATACGGCGTAAGAAAGGTGCGCCTACAGGGTGATTCACTTACGACCGTGTGATAACTCAGGCAAACCCAACCAATATATTTTTCTTTGGACATACTGCCTTTCCAAAGCTTAAAAATTGGGTTAGGTACAGAAACTCACGCTAATGCGATAGAGACACTTTTAAAGGAGGGCAGACGCGTAATCAGAGATAGTAATCAGAACCAGATGGAGCAGAGACGCAGGAAGAGTTACACTGAATGCGCTGAAGATGACCGGAAAAAGCGTGAGTATTGATGTACAGAGGGACCATACTAGTCAATTATAACATTTAAAATATTTTGTATACTGGTAGCTATGCTCCCTGCACAGTATTACCTAGGGGTTAATTTAAAACACACACATTTCAAAGCCTGAGCATACAGTGACTATGCATCAACTCGCCAGTAAAATCGCTAATGTGAAACATGCTCAGGTCCCATGTGACTGATTTTAGATCGGCAGTTAAATAGCCAGCCATTAACAAAAGAGCAGGTGATCAGAGACCCCTGATAAGATATTATCATACCATTGTTCCTGTTTTTGGTGCATCAGCCGGTCTGGTTCATCATATGGGCTAGCAGTGGGATCCCTATGTCATATACTGGAATCTGCACTTAGAGAACAAAGGCTGAGCATTGAAAAAGCAGTGCGCTGTCTGAAATGCTGTCCTGGTGTGGGGGCCCTCAGGATCCCCCGGGCTCTCACCGGTCCTGTGCTGCTGCACGTTTCAGGGCAGGATGCAGTTTGCTGATTTGACTAAATACCATAATGAGGTCATGCACAGGACCGTCTGGGAATTCCTGGAGCGGGTCGCTTACATGTCTGTGGGGAAACCAGGCGTATTTTTGACTTTCTGCCTCAGTGACTGCACACTGATGAAACCAAACATCAGATCCATCTGGCAGGAACATGCATGCAAGGCCGAGAGACAGAGATAAGGATGGATTTCCACAGCGCAGCGCAGGACGGCATGGGACAATGTGCAGCTCCCAGCCCAGCCCCCCTGCCGCCTGGCACACTGATCAATCAGCAGTCCTTTTGATTATTGCAATGCAAGATTCACACTTTGTCTGATTTATGCGACTGTGACACCGGAGTCATGGACTCACGCTGGCCAGGGAGAGACACAGATACAGTGATAGACGGGGGGGCTCTTCTCCAGTGTGAACATGGGATTGCCTCAGCTGGCATTGGGTTTGTTTGGGGCTGGTGAGTGGGGGTGGTGTTGCCATGCCAGCGGGAGGTGCTGGGTGTCAGTACAAGGGCAGAGGGGCAGGACTATGAGCAAAGAGACGGTATGGAGAATAGAGGGAGTGCAGTGCTCATGTGCAGGTCGCCATGCCTGTGTCAGCCGTGATTTCAGGGCGGACGTGTGATGTGCAGCCACTGCTGCCAGCGACAGCGAGGTGAGGCGCAGACAGCAGACGCAGCACGTGCATGGGGTGAGCACCTGTGGGCGCATGGGCCTGGGCGGGGTGAGGCCCACTGCATTTTCCAGATGCCATTACAGGCTGACTTGTTCTGAAAATTAAAGAGCTATTAAGCAGACTCCTGTTTTTTCCTTGGCTCTGACCTGTATGGTCAGGCTAGTGTGAAGACGGTGTCCCCGGGTCTGGAATGTTTGTAGAACCCCCCCACCACTGTAACCCCTCACTGCCTCCTGCCTCTCACTCATCTACCACTGTCTGAAAACTCCTATTCACTTCCAGTCCCAACCCCTGAGGGAGGTCCCTCTCTCTCTCTCTCTCTCTCTCTCTCCTTCTCTCTCTCTCCATCATCCCACTCTCCCTCTTTTCCTCTCTCCCTCAATCCCTCTTTCCACCTCCTCCTCTCTTCTTCTCTCCCTCCATCCCTCTTTCCTTCCACCCTTCCCTCCTCTCCCCCTCTTTCCCTCATCCCTCTGTCCTTCTCCCCCTCTATCCTTCAGCCCCCTCCTCCTCTCTTCCCCATCCCTCTCTACCTCCCCTCCTCTCTCCCTCCATCCTTCTCCCCCTCTCCTCCTCTCTCCCTCCATTCCTCTCTCCCTCCATCCTTCTCCTCCTCTCTCCCTCCATCCCTCTCCCACTCTCCTCAGCTCCCAGCCTCCCCGTGCCCCCCCCCCTGATCTGAATGCCTACACTAATTGTTCCAGTATCTATCAGTGGGGAGGCCATAGAGAATGGTTACACATTTAGTTGAGGAAAGGGGGGGGGGGGTTACTGCTAACTTCATCCCACTTTTGGTCTGTAAGTGAGAGAGACAGATATGGTGTGAGGAGCTCTAATCTCACAGCAGATCCCCCAGACAGCAAAGGAGCAACACAGTCTGACACTTATGTGCTGGGGAATGATTGCATTACTGTTAAAGACAGCAAAAATAACAGCACCCTGTAAGCTCTCTCTTAATCACATCAATAAGACGACACAGAAATATTATGTAAATATAGCAAGCAAGCTTAAATCGTAATACATAATTTAATGGATATCCATGACTCATCCATCTTTAAAATCTATTTGTGCTTATGGATTTAAATAAAGAGCATCTTCATTGATGACCTTAACGTTTACTTTCTTTGAGCATCTAATTGCTGACATATCAAATTTTTTTTGTTTGGACAAGTACAGACCTTTGGCAAAGCAGCTAAAGTTGTCTGGCATGGTGAACATATTAGGGCAGAAGTAACGCTTGAGTCTGTGTGCTTTTTCTTGTGGACAGCCATCCCGCTCGCTTCCCTCTGCCCTGCCATCCGTGTTATATAAATAGGTATTTTTGCAACTCGAGATGCCTTTTTTACCAGCAGAGTCACTGCCTGCGAGCTCTCCCTGCCTGACAGGCACGATGGAGTCGTCTTCATTTAGGACAGAACTCAAGAACATTCTCTCTGGCAGTCCTGAGTCATGCTCCCACATAATTAAACAATAATAATAAACTGCTTAAAGCCTGTCCTCCTGGTGGATAAGAGAGCAAGCAGGTGTCTCTCAGACTGGGGTGGCAACAGTGTCACCAAGGACTGGGTGGAACATGTTGCTGATTAGGGCCAGTTTTACTGGTGACAAAAACTAATACCAAAGAAATTATTAAATATGTCATTTGTAGGTTACAATAAAATCGTTGATGAAAAACGTTAAAACTTTCAGTTGGAAACCAAATGAAAATGATAAGGAAAATTGTTTTCCTTGTCGGGGACGTGGCAGAGGTTGTGAACATTTGAAATAAATCTCATATGTGAATTTAGTTACATGGAGGACAAGGTTTGCGTTGTCGGGCTGAATGTCATTCAGGGCATGAAAAGGCAGCCGTGTGCGTGGTCTGGTGCGCAGACGGTTACATAATTAACGAAAGAAAAACACTATGAAAAACTTAAATGAAAAAAGAGAAACTGCCTGGAGACCCCCTTAAACTGAAATTTAAAGTAAAATTGAACTGAAATAAAGTCTTCTAAAATAATAGGCTAAAAATACCAAATCCGTCTCGCCCCCCACAGTCCAAAAAGATGTTAAGTTGAATTGGGGTTGGCAAACTGTCCATAGGTGTGAATGGTGTGTGTGAGTGTGTGTGTCTGTGTGTCTGTGTGTGCCCTGCGATGGGATGGCACCCCATACTGGGTCGCTCCCTGCCTCGTGCCTGTTGTTTCCGGGATAGGCTCTGGACCCCCGCTGCCCTGAATGTAGGCACAGAAACTGGATTGGACGGAAAATAAAAAAACAACTTACCTTGTGACTAAATGCGTGCTGGACGTCACGGACTTACTGAACACAGTATCAGCACTAAACTGGGGTGGTAAGGACGGTGCATATCACAGCCGGTGCAATTCATTTTCCTGCCCATATAATTACTCATATACTGAAACTCGACCCAAAAGCATGAGGAGTTTCAATGTCCACGTTAAGGACGTTTGTGGGTAGGCCCTGCGCTCCAGATGGGCAAGATGCTTCCCTGACATCGTCGTGCTGGGGGTCGGGCTAGAGATCGTTTTCATTTTTTTTTGACACATTCTCTGTTGCATCCTCAAACGCGTCTGCCCTGAAATCGGGATGCCAGCGAAAGTCATGGAGGCTTGTGCTTCTGCAGTCCTGGCGCATGGTGGGATGCGACGTTGCTGTGATTGATGCGGTCGCCACAAAAAGGCGCCGTTCATCGGCTCCAAAGTCAACTCATTATGTTTTACAGCAGCGGTAATAAGCGCAGAGTGTGACCGTGATGGGATACTGCAGATTGCCCTTTTATATTATATTCATCTCTTTCATGCATGTACGTCGCATGTCTGGATGCATATACACATGCGTTTACGTGCTGGGCCCTCAATGAAAGATTGATGGCGGCATAAGTGGCTGCCTGGGCGCATTAAGCAGCACAGCCAGAGCGCATCAAGACAGAGATGATCAATAATGCAGCGCCTCAGAGGGAGGTGGATTCGGGGGGGGGAGGGTAGGGGGGCGTGGCATGGGCAGATACTGCGTTCCTATGGCTGTTCACATCACATATTCCCAAGAGGTTCCAGAACACCAGTGATGGCTTTCTGAGTGAGTGGGGGGAAGCTTATGTAAAGGAGCAATTGGGTTGCAGTTTGAGTGCATTGAGGATGGTCTGGGTTAGCAGTGTGTGTAAGGGGGTGGTGCATGGTGTGGGCGTGCTCTGGTGCGTGTGTGCAGGCAGGGTGTGGCCGTGTTCAGGGGGGTGTAGTGCAGGCAGGGTGTGGCCGTGTTCAGGGGTGTGTGTGCAGGCAGGGTGTGGCCGTGTTCAGGGGTGTGTGTGCAGGCAGGGTGTGGCCGTGTTCAGGGG